TGAGAACAGCCAAGTTCTGTTGGAACACGATTGGGCCCTGATTCAGTTTTCATCACTGTGCATTGTTTCATCAGACAGTCAAGTTTACCATTTACCTTTCTTTTGAGGTCAAAGAAAACTACTTTCTGCATGCATTGGTCTGAGGCATATTTTGTTCAGCAACATTTTTAAGGAATGTTTTAACAGTTATTTCAGTAGACTGATTGAGTAATATTTTCTTATGCTATAATTATCTTATTTCATAGTAGGGAATATAAGGGGGCAGCTATGCTTACTGAAACCAGAATAACAGAAGCAAGGAGATTCCCAGCAGGAGGGAAGGTGTTGTACTGTACTGCATACTATAATGTCGTGTTATTTATCCCAAGCTAAACTTGTTTTTCCAACTATTTGTGCAATTGACCCGCAACCCAATAAATGATATCATTTTCAGTCCTGAATGGCACTATGACATTTTAAGTAGGAGTTTAAATACCAGAAAATGCTTTTGACTGATTTAAAAACGGTGCTATAAATACCCAACTGGCCAGCTAATTTTGGGAGGAGATAGGATAAGGACAGAGAAAAGCAATCAGTAATAAGACACAGAGAAAGATAGACACACACACACAAAAGTTGTAAAGTGTCCTACTCTAAAAAAAAGTATATATACCTTGCAAAAATATACTTGTGGCAACACTGTTTTCTCCTGTTTTTGTAGTGATAAATCATAGCCTCTCGTGAATTTTCAGGTGCAAATCATTGTTTGCTTAAAGAGTACCTGCAAGAAACACATCCAAAATTAAATAAATTTGGATTTTTTTGTACTAAATGTTCCAAATAGCAGGTACAAAAACACATTTCCCACACTGACTTAAAACTATCTTTGCAAATGGCCAATGAAAATAGAGACAAGAAATAGCTTTTGACCAAGTGGCTACAAGCTTGACTAAACAAGAACTCTCCTAAAGGCAACCAGTCCTGGAAGTAATGAAAAGGGGAAAGGACCGTGACCAATCCAAAAGCATATGGATAAAAGCCCCCTTTAAGTTATCACTGCCCATTTTTATGACCCTTTGTCAACCAACCAATCCTGGAACTTGATAAAGTGATGAGATAAACCAATGGTATCCACCCTACAAAGGCAGGCTGCCATCGAGCAGTTATAGTGGCTTTACAATGGCATGTGGTTCCACCCCTAGCTCCTGCTGTTACAAATCCCTATGTTAATCGTCAGGATTTCTACACTAGTCACCTTGTGACTGTTGTAATATCACCACAATGCAACTACTCAACTGTCTTTTCTCTGAACTAATGCAATTGGTCCTCTGGGTCTCAGATCAGCAGTGGGGTTTTGATAGCTAGGATTTTGGTGTGAGTTTTGTATACTTACTCAACTTTGAAACATTACATTAAGTGTATTTACTATCCTAAAGAACATAAATTATCAATTAAAACACTTTTCAGAATAGCACAAGATGTTTACAATCCGCAGCTCCGTTACTTCAGTGAACAAGATACAGTGGAATTGCAGCTATTGCATCATAGAAGAACATTTTGGGAAGAGTTTTAGGTCACTCTTGGAAAGGTGTGACTGCCTGTCTTCATTGTGAACGCTCCAAGTGCCTCTTGTTTGGAATCCCCAAGTTGTCCTAGTTAGAACCCTGAAGCTGATGTCCTGTGACTATTGCTGCTTCTTGTGTGGCTGTCCAAGTGACAAGCAGTCAGCACTTGGGGGATTGCAGAGAATGTGAGAAGCAGCACAAGGCTCACAAAACCAAAGCTCTGGGTAGTTCAGTAGCAGTAATTTGTTATACACAGAAATAGGTGGCTTGATGGGACATAACCTAATGATTTCAGGAAATGTATAAAACTGCAGGAACCATCTGTAACTCAGTCTGTAAGGGGTTCAAGGAAGCATTTATGTTGGCCCTGACCACATACAGTAAATATTGCCATCTATGCAGATGTTATGTATGGAAATACTCTAAGCCAAAACTGCTGACAGTATCATCTCTCTGAAGTCAATATATTTGCACCAGTGTAAACCTGAGAGCACAGGAACTTCTCTTTAACGAGATTATATAGCCACATCAAGTGCAGATCACTACAAAGGCTTTTTCTCCTGAGTGAATGGCATGTTACATATTAACTTGTTTGGTCATATTGGTAGTAGATTTCTGTTGCTTTTGCTCTTTGCACACATTTGTACTACAAAAAGGAACACATAGTCCAAAACCAGCAAGCCAATTAGAGGTAGTTTACTGAACTATTTACATGGTTCCTGCAGTGCAACAAAATAAGAATCCCCTAAATCAGTGGTGGGCAAGAGGCTGCCAGCGGGCCACATCTGGCCTGCCAAGCCACTGGATCCAGCCTGTGGCTGCCTCACTAGACCCCTTAGGTAGAGCTCAAGCTTTAAAAAGCCAGCTGCTCTCCGCTCTGGAACTGGAGAGGGAGGAGGGAGTCTTTGCATGATTCCCCCATTCCCCCAGCAAAATCTCTCAGCTCCCATTGGCCAGTTTCTAGCCAATAGGAACTGAGAAATTTTGCTGGGTGTGGGAAGCCTTCTTTCTCCCTCCTTCCCTCTCTCCTCCCCCCCGCCCCCCACCATGCCTGGAGTGGAGCCACATGGTGCAGTGAGCAGCCTGCAGCAAACACTCTGCTTCAGGCTGCTGCAGGGCTGCTGGCCAGGAAATGCATAGGTAAGCGTATCCCAGCCAGAGTCTGCCTCTGATACCCCACCCACTGTCTCCCCTCTGACTACCTGCCCCAGGCCACCACCCAAACCCCCTGTTCCCCTTTTCCTCCTTCTTCCAGGTCACAACTCCCTCCCAGATCTTGCACCCCTTCCTATGGCCCCTCCCCCAGGCCAGAATCCTCTCCTGCACCCATACCCCCTCCTGGACAGTGCACCCCAAGCTCCTGCCCCAGATCATAGTCCCCTCCTTCACTCAAACTCCTTCTCAGACCCCTCACCCTTCCTGCACCCCAGTCTCCTACCCCATGCACCCTTCTGCATCCAATCTCCATTCCAGACCGCACACCCCCTCCACAGAAGTGCAGCTCTTGACCACTTGCCAAAATCTTGGAGTGGCCCCCCATTAAAAATTATTACCAACTCCTGCCCTAAATAATTTAATTGAAAGTAAAATGATATTGCAAAACTGGAATTGCTTTTGGTTAATATCACTGCTCTAAATAATGCAGCACAGCTAACAGTGCATATTATATATAATAAAGAATGGCATCAGTAGCAACACAGGACTGGGAATTAAAATCAGACCACTAAACTCATTGCACATCAGCCACCAAATGCCAATTGAATGGTGTGAATATTTGATCATTGATAACCTGGACTGTATTTGGATTTCCAACTTAGAAAGTAAGAGGCTTCATAATCCATTACCAATCCCCTAGAATATGAAGTGGCACATACGCCTCAACAATGCTGCTTTTAACACCACTCATATTCTTGAGAAGTATTTGTCCTGAGACCATGCAGAAACAATCTGAACACAATTATTCTTCATTTCATGAGGTCTTGGATCTGTCTCCCAAACTCTCATCTATGATGTGATTTTAGTGCTAGTGACTTAAAAAAAAAAAACCCAAACATTCTTACTGAGGAGAAATAGGCAACAATCAGATTTTTACTGGGATTTCCAAATTTTGCTCAGATACACACTGCGTGTATCTCAGAACAGAGAAAACACAGAATTTCAAGAATTTACAAGAATTCACCACTACAATCAATTGAAAATTTTCCCTTAGAAAACTGTGGTTCTTTCAAAAAACTGAATCTTTCTGCAGGAAAAAGTATTGATTTCAACAAAAAAAACCTGATTTTATTACTGGAATTTCAAAACAAAAATTTCTTTTCAAACTGACATTCTGTAATGAATCAAATTTTGTCATTTCATGTTGATTTACATTGACATTTCTTTTTGCTATTTTACAAACTGATAAAAGTCAGTCTTCCATTTTCAGATTTTGAATTTGGAATCTTCTCACTTTAAAAAAACCACCTTTTCCCCTCATTATTTCCTGATCTCCTCCTTTTTCCAGCAGAAGAATAGAGGACAAAGTACAAAAGGATGACAACGATAGGCAGAGACCAAAAATCCAAATTAACAATAGAAAGTCAATTATTTTGGTTTTTCAAAAACCAAAATGAAATGGTGCTGTAAGTCTAAATTGAAAGAAAATTTTAATTTCAAAATAAAAAATCCTGCACAAACCCCAACTGTAATTGTTCCAGTCAGTGGGAAACCATGCTGACTCACTACAAGCTACCGGAATTCAGGGCCTTGGGTCTGACTGAAAGCCGAATATCAGTTCTAGAGGCCATGCCCTTTTTTGGGGTGGGGCAGAAAATAAACAGTTAAGCAGTTTTTGGTAAGCCCAGTGGCAGTTTATGATCCCAGGCCCTGGGCC